AATTTTGAATAATTCCTCATGCTCCCAATTTGAATAATATTTGTGTTATTTTTACAATCATATTTTCATAATGCTGCAGCATATTCCCTGATATGATTTCACAATTCTTCACCCATCTGTTTGAGTAGTGAAAAGAACATTTTTATTAAATTGTGAAATTGCGAACATACTGCTGCAGCGCTATTCAAGAGATTTGTTTAGACTACTTGTTTGAAACGAGGAGAATTCAGTTTGGATGAATAAGATTTTGAGAACAGACAAATCAACTTATGAAATCGATATATTTCTCGCCTCGTGTAGCAAGAAAGGAAATTCCTATAATGTTCGAAGAACATCGAGCGTATCTAGGGAGAATAGGAAGAGAAGGTAGGTGTTGGAATTTTTTTGACAAATCAAATGAATATCTAATACCAGGCAATGTTCACCAGTTTTCAACAATTATGGCTGCCATATCATTCTCTAACGTTTTTCCAACGAACTTTTGGCCTCATGAATATAGTTCAAATTAGTAGTTGAAGAACCTCTACTAGATGAGAACAACGTATGTGGCAGCGATATTTTCCAGTTGTTTGAACATTGTTCATGTTATGTCATACCAACAGAACATTTTGGTACTATCACTACGTTACTTTGAATCCGGCCATACATGGCAATTTTTATAAGGAAAACATGGGGAATATTAGGCTGTGACGTTCGATTCGTCGAAGGCATTCGATCGTGTACTATCACTACGTTATTCTACATCCACTCATATATGGCAAGTTTTATAAGGAAAACATGGGGAATATTCAGCTGTGAAGTTCGATTCATCGAAGGCATATTCGACCATGTTCGGCACCAAGGACTGCTCCACAAACTACCATCATACGGCTAACCACCTCAGCTATGCCATCTTTCATCGAGTTTGCTTTCAGGCAGATCGCTTCATGTGGTGGTGGACAGAGTAACGTCTGATACTATTGTTATCAATTTCGGCGTTCCACAAGGATCAATTCTGGCACCAACATTGTTTCTAATTCATATCAATGATCTGTTGAAAAGTATCCACTTGCCCCATCCACAGTTTTGTAGATCCCCATACTGCGTTTTTCTCCAGAATCCCCGTTTTTTCCAGGAAAATAAGAACTCTCGAACGCTGCCAATGAGTATCTCGCTGAAATTTCAGCCTGGGGAACCAAGAACCTGGTTGAATCCAATGCCACTAAATCTCAAGCCTGTCTCTTCTCTGAAAAGGCTGAACTCAGTATGCCTGATATAGCAATGTCTGGTATCTTCATTCCGACCATTTCCATCAGCAATACTCTTTCATGGGCAAATCATGTCAGATCGATCGCAGAAATTCCTTCACAAAAACTCGGATTCTCTATACTTGCAAAAATCCACTTCACACCTGAACAGCTTCTTGTGATCTACAAAGAATGATATATCAATGTCTGGTAGCATTATTCCGACCAAGTCCACTATATCTATGCTTGGTATATCCATCAGCGATACTTTCTCATAAGAAAATGAAGCCGCTCTACGTGAACTCGTAATTTTATTCCTTGCAAAAATCTACTTCACACCTCAACAGTCATTCATGATATAAAAAGCACAGATACAGCCTGCTCTGTTTTTGCGATACATGATATTGAAGTTGAAAGTATATCAATTGGAGCGAGACTTTGAGTTTGTTCTCTTGATTATATTAATTCTCTCAATTATCTCATCACCTCCAATTTGAGCATGGACTACTACCAGAGGTATATCAATTGTTTATTTATCACCCTATTGTATTAGCTTCTATGGTGCCAACATCCCCTCAGGGGCTCACAACTTGTGAGTACGGGAATGGTGAACCCGAGGTACCCTAGCCGGATATTCACCATACTTCAACTCGTCTTGGGTGATATCCTCTTCTCTCTTCCATTTTCAATCTTTCTATCGGCCTTTCTTGGCCAACTTCTCTTTTCCTCTTCCCCTCCAAGCCCAACCTCACCATCAAGTGGTGTGGGGAGGACAGACCGCGGCCGCTCGACGAATGAAGCATTTCGGGACCATCTTTGCTATCTCTGGACTAGATGGGACAATTTGTGGACATCTGTGGCAGGGATGGGGCGATTTGCTGATGTTTGTCTAGGTGGTCGAGGACTGGTCAACGAGGCTCTGGCAACCTAATCCAAGCTGTGGGAACCCGTGGCGATGGATGGATGGCACCGAGGAATGGTGTCGCTAACGGGGCCTCTGGGAAACAGGGCGACATCCCAGAGTAAACAGCCTTAGCCCTGTGCAGGGGGCACCACAGGGCTGGACCAACCCCTTCCCCCGTCACTCGTAGGAGAAGGAAAACTTTTGACCTTCTTCGTAGACGAGAACAGGGAGCGGAAGAGCAATCTTCAGGAACCTGAACGAAAAGGGTCTTTCATATTGAAGTGTCCCTTAATAGGCACCATGAGTCGTATGTGGTAAAATTGATAACGGCATGTAGGTGAGATACAATGGGCCACTAGGCCTAAGTGTCGTCGGAGCCTACAACGGGGTGGAGTGTTTAGTGGGTATACCATGGAGGGGACTCCCACACTATCATATGGGGGATTGGACCCATATGATGTCTATAAAAGATTTCAACCACCTCGGCGAAAACAAAAAAAAAAATGGTGCCAACATTCAGTATGGATGGAGACTGAGAAAGCGCCAAAATTTCAGAATGACTCTAATTGGGGTTATTGAGTTATGTCAATGGCAGTCTTGAAAACACCAACATGAAAATTCGGAGTCGTAATGAATTTTTATTGTAATCCAAATAACAAAGCCAGATACAAAAATCACACAGAGAATGAAAAAGTTGTAATTTCAATAGTTCAATCTAATTGAAATATGGAACTCAGGAAAACCTGTGGTTTACAATGACATTCACCATGAATATAGATAAATTTACCTATACTGTGACGCCCCTGGCAATATTATTTCGAATCTAATCGCACCAGAAAAAGCTCCACATTATTATCAACAAAATCACAACGTTTTATTGAAATTGAAAAAAAAAAGATTTTTTCTACAAACGTCAGTGAGAGTATAATTTTTGACGCATCGTGTCAGTGTCTAAAATGTCAGTTTATGACACAGGTGTTAAAAGTAAATCACTTTCAGCACTAGTGCTAAAAGTGATTTATTTTTATGATAAAATGAAATGTTTATTCAATTGAAAGTACAATTAGCGAAACTACGATTATAAAAAGTAACTCCATGGCCAGTCTCATTGGTAGATGTGACAGAATTTATTATCGTGCAGCAGAGAGCAATATTATCTGCCGAAGTTTTCGACAAAATTTGATCTGCTATGTTCTGTTTCCTTTGTAGCGAGTCTTCTATATAACCCTCTGCTACTGTACTGGACTTCCATCCACCATGTATTTCAATTGTAGTAAGACTCGCACCAGAGTCCGCCAACAAACTTGCTGAGGAACGTCGGAAACAATGTCCAGTATATAAATGGGAATCAGGCAAATTAAGAAATTCGACAATTCACTGGACGAAGGGCTATGTACTTTTTGTAGTAATTCATATACAATGTACCACTCACAACAAAGGTGCGTTGCACATTAGTTTTTGTGTCTGGTATATGCACAACTAGTGAAGTTCCGGAATCCTCAAATCGCACAGTTCTTCTCGACGACAGGCTCCAAAAACACCAAAAATTGCAGCAACTTTCTGCATTAGATATATTTCATCTGGGGCTTATGCGAGAAATTTGTCGATTTGTTCTCTTGTCAATACTTTTGAATTTTTCGGTCTATATCCTTTACCCTTTCGCTCCAAAAAAGCCACAAGCTTGTGATATCTGCTTATATCATGATCATTTATGTTCATCATCGACTTTAACATAGAGTAATACGACCAAAGCGTTGACGATTTCCAGTTTTTGTATGCAAGAAGCACTTTTTAACTGGCCTCCTTTCCACTGACATTTTTCTGATAACACCATTTCAAGAAACGTTCGTATAAAAACTCGTACTGTCGCTTTGACTTACTAGGCAATAATTCAAAAACAGCTTTATTGGCAGCTTCTTCAATTTGCGGCGGAAGAAATTCATTTTCTTGGGCACTTTCCATCGAGGAACGAAGAAACGAGAAAGAAAATTCGTGATTTATTGACGTTAGTTGTCAAGAAAGATAAATCAACAAATTCAGTTTTTGTTCACCTTGGTAACTTGTTTCATGAATAGATTAGATTGAATTGGATTCAAAACTGATAATCTCGAGGCTGTTATTTAATCAATTAATAAGTAATGTGAAATAGTTATGCGTTAATCTGGACTTTTAATGGTGTTTGTAAAAAAAATAGTGTATGATATATGTGCTAAAATTGTTTTATGTTTTGCTCGAAATGAAATATCACTTTTAGCACTTATATCTTGAATAACTATTTTATGGAAATGCTAGTAACCTGTATCTCGAAAACGAAGCAAGTTACGGCACATGTTTAAATGAACTCTATTTCCTGAAATATCACAAGGAATAATCCCTTGAATCTTCTCGATGTTATTTAGATAAACCCTGTGGATAACAACAAAGCTCTGAACTTCCAGAATTTCAAAAACAGAAATCCGATACCTACCTCCTCCCTTATCCTTCCTAGGCACGCACGAAGTTCTTTCGTGCGCTTGAAACGAAGGAAGAACCCATTGTTATTATTCTGATATTGTTAATATATTTTCCAGAAGCGTTGCCTCGTTTATCGAATATGTCAAGAGCAACAATTACTTAAATCGTCTGGATAAAGAGACTGTGGCAATTAAGAGCTGGGTAAGTACCCATAAATTCGAAACTGAACATAAGACATAATCATACTACATGAAAATATCTTACTAAAGTTGAAAGTTTTTTTTTTCGAAATGTATCAGGTCTTCAAGTCTAATGAAAAAATGCGTTATCGGTAGATGTTCTTCATTTGTTTATTCCAGTACTTATCCAGCTCTCAATTTATGATGCAGTATAATGATTGAAGAATCTTTTTACAGATAGGGTATCCTGGTTGAACACAGAAGAAAGAAAAGAAGTCCACAAAACCAAAACTTGAAGTTCGACCATCATAAGCCAGTAAACATTGTGTTAAGTTTCTGCTGTATGTTTAGATTATGGAAAAAGTGACAGTTTGTAATAAAACATATTGGAATCAACTCATACTACTCTGGAATCTCTCATTTTTCCAAAACGAGATGCAAAAATGAGAATTCCTACTCTCATGAAACATGCAAATTCATTGTGCTATGGTTATGACGTTCTCTTTAGTCAGTACTTGGAATAATGTGTGTTGAAAGGAACTTCAAAGCAAATAGCATATTAATAAATTAATTTCGAGTTATAACTCGAAAATAGTGCTAATTTCGTGTTACAACTCGAAATTAGCTTAATTTCGAGTTATAACCCGAAATTAGTACTAATTTCGTGTTACCACTCGAAATTAGCTTAATTTCGAGTTATAACTGGAAATTAGTGCTAATTTCGTATTACAACTCGAAATTATCTCAATTTCGAAATATAACTCGAAATTAGTACCAATTTCGTGTTACAACTCGAAATTAGGCTTTCCTTGAGTTGTAACACGAAATAAGGGCTTCTGTTCAATGAACTCTTCAATCCGAGCTATGTCATAGATATTTCTCCTTCTGTACAAATTCATAATCCTCAATTTTCGTCTGGGATGACGATCACTAATAAAAATATCATGATTCATGGCTAAACAGAAAACAATTTCTATTTGTTGTAGCCCCAATGAGAAATAAAATGAAATTATTTCTTCCATTGTTTTCTACACTGTTAGGTACTATACCGAGATTGATACTTCTTGTGAAAATTTGACTCATTGAGAGCTTGGTTTCGTAGTACAACTCAAGAAAAGCCTAATTTCGAGTTTTTTTTGCAATTGCATTACCTCGTTGGTCCAAGCACTGGGACCAAATGCCCCATAAGTCGAAACTTGTGCGGGGTTTGGTAAGCAGACAAACACAAACATACTATCCGTGGCCCAACTAGGATTTGGACCTATGTCTCGGTGGGAGTCCTTATACGAATTGAGCTTATTTCGAGTTGTAGCACGAAACTAGTACTAATTTAGAATTTCGAGTTGTAACACGAAATTAAGCTAATTTCGAGTTATAACTCGAAATTGAGAAAAACATATCTCATGTCTGTTCTACGGTTTCGTACGAAACTCTAGAAACGTACTATACTTGTACTACGACTACACTATAAAACCTTCAAGATAGTTCAGATATTGTGTAAAGACACAGATATCCAACACGTCCCCCATTACTTCAAGCTATAACTGCATGAGAAGGTACAAGTAACAATTATTATGCTTGTATTTGTTCGATGGTAAATCGCGTAACGAATCATTTGCCTCAATTTCAATCGAAATGAAGCTGTTACTCATATCTTAACAACTTTATTGATAACAAAAAGCACATTCGACAAACTTATGTACAGGGTGATTCAAAAGTAAGCGGAACTCTTTCAGGGGCGTATTCCTTGCATGAAAATAGGACTATAATTTCGTATTTATAAGGGTCCGAAAATGCTTGCTGAAGGAGATTCACTTCTTCGAATAGGACACCTCAAAGACGATGTTTTCTCTAAAATTTTGAAATCCTTTACAATAAATTTTCAAAAATTGGTGTACGGCATATAAATATTTGATGGCAACTAAGACTCTGAATTCAAAATATCAAAATTTCATTCAGGGGCGTCTAATGCGGGGGATGGTGAGTGTAAAAACATCCCTTCTTATTATATTCAGGTTTTTGTGATCTACGCAAATCAGAAGTTGATTTTCTCCTAAATGGTACGCTCTATCGACATGAACAAGGAGTACCTCATCAACGTGAAAAACTAGAATTTTATAATTTTTTAACGAAATCGATAATCTGGCAATCAAAAGCAGCAGGGATATTTTAACACTCACCCTTTCCCGGATGTGACGTCCCTGAATGAAATTTTGAAATAACCATAACCCGTATCAAACACTTTTTGTTTAATTTGTACCGAGTTAGATAGCTATTGCCTTGAGGAAGTTTCAACAAAATTTTGACAAATGTTGCTCGGAGATTTTCATAAAATCAACCGCTAGAAAGTGATAAAATTCAAAATTCAGTGTTGATCATGTATTCTTGTTGAAAGGTTGAAAAAACGTACAGCAGATTTTCAGGAAACCAACTTTCAAACCATCAAAGACTACTTTTTAAATTCACTCCTCACTACCTTCCCTATCACATCTCTGAAGGAATGTATCAAATTACCAGTAACCCTGTATAACTACTGACACTAACTGACAACTAACTGAGCAACAAAAAGTCATCTGTCAACAATCCTATGAAAACTGTGCGATCGCTCGCTTCAAACACTCTGTGCGAAAGGGGAATCTTACTGACATTAAATAAATGTGAAAAGCTCACAGTCATTTCCACCCAGTGTTCATAAAAAAAAAATGAACAACAATGGTAGATTTCGGGAGAAAAACAACTACTTCCCTGGCTAATGCCACGCAGGATATTGAATTACATCCTCCCGAAATCTATGCATCGACTCGTTTAAACGAATACTGATACAAGTGATTCTTTCCTGAATGCCTATTGATTTCGATTGAGCCAGGCCGCTAGACAACCACAGACCGGTTTCGAGCTCTTTGACTCTCATCAGTGCAGTGTAGTCTCCAGCCAGCAGTCCTAAGACCGCCGACTGAGCGAAGCCAGCCACTCCCGTATGGGAATTTCAGTTTTGGAGCGATTCTTTCCTCGGTTCTACTCAGATGGCGTTACTTTCATTTTATCGATGAAAGACGCCTCGGGGTGGATATAATGCCAACTTGATTTTTGTTTGGCTAGGCTTCGCTGAGTCGGCGGTCTTAAGACTGCTGGCTGGAGACTACACTGCACTGATGAGAGTCAAAGAGCTCGAAACCGGTCTGTGGTTGTCTAGCGGCCTGGCTTAATCGAAATCAATAGGCATTCAGGAAAGAATCACTTGTATCAGTATTCGTTTAAACGAGTCGATGCATAGATTTCGGGAGGATGTAATTCAATATCCTGCGTGGCATTAGCCAGTATGAACACTGGGTGGAAATGACTGTGAGCTTTTCACATTTATTTACTATTTCATTCCACTGTGAGCATTGTGGCTATTTCGTAGTTCTTACTGACATTGTTCACAATATCCTTCACTTACAATAATTGATTGACATCGTAGGAAAAATTCGGAAAAATTGGTTCAGCATGCATTATTACTGTGTGAGTAGGCCCTATATGCTATATAGAAATCGATAATAGATGACCCACATTTGTGAAAAGAACGAATTATTATCACTTCGAATAATTTCAATTGAACCATTATTGCCTTAGATCATACTCTAATATCATCAAAATGAGTACACACATATCAAGTCAGAATCCATCTCTCCTCATAAACGTAGGTTAGATGGCGTAGCTAGAAACGACGGCAATATTTAAGTACCTACCAATAAAGCTGCCAATTTCACACGGATAATGTCAAATCACTTCTCTTTACAAAATTCAACACTACAAGGATGGAAAAATTCAGCAAGAATTGGGTATCTGTAGTTAGGGTCCCTTGATGGAAATTGACGTTAAAGTCATCTTAACAGGGTACGGACAGATCAAAGCTGCATTCTTTTTTAATGATCTAGAGACTTTAGTTTTGTCTACTGGTATCCCTGACATTGCTGTCATGTCACATCCATGGGCGCTACTGAAAATCATTCTAAATTTTAATAAGAGGTATGTACAGGGTATTTACTTGTTGAGGAATATCATATGGCGAACGAATTCAAAATTGGAAGGTATCTGGGGTTTTCCGGGGTTTGGGATAATGATTGTTTCGTCACATTTGCAAAATTCAAGATTACGGATCCAATATATACCGAAAGAAATTTCTAATTATGATCTAATTCCATTTAAGATTGGTATCTGGGGGTTCTCGAGGTTGAACTTTGATTTTTTGTCAAAATTGGGGAATTCAAGATAGTGTATTCAATATGGCGAACGAATTTTGTAATTATAATCCGATTCTATTCAAAAATTAAATTTGGCATATTGGGATTTCGTGGGTCGGAGATTATAATTATCTCGTCTTATTTCGTTACTTTCATCAATAAATTATTCGAAAATGAGATCAATCAATCAGCAAATTCACAATTGAAGGAATTTGCCCATGATGAAAGATTAATCCTTCGAATTATGGCCTTTTGTCCATGGTCATTGGTCATTATTGAATTGTTCATGTGATGGAGATGTGACTGTGAGTTATTTCACCCCGTCTGATAATTTATATGATAATGATTCAATAAGATAATACATCAGGTTTGATAGTGAAACAAGAGCAGTAAAAAAATCAAATTAAAATATTGAGAAATATCATATATAAAAATATATCACCTCAACGGTAAGTTATGGATCACTTACGTTGGTTCAAGAAATATTTTGGAAACTCTATCAATGAAAATACAATTTTTAATATATTTCTTCAATTCGATTCATTATAATTGTTTCCGCTTTGGAAATGAAGACTGTTTCAAAACGATATACCTATATCTTCAGTCAGTACCACGAAGTCATCGATTCACGAAATCGCAGACGAATTGGCTCGGTTAACGTTTGAGAGGATTTGAATATTCATAGAAAAATCCTTATGAATATTGATACATTGTTTCCGAGAGACTGAGTATGAGTTTTCCGGAAGTGATGGTCACATTTCTCTAGTGTTTGCAGTGAATAAATGAATTTAAAACTGCCTAGTCATCAAACAATTTATAATGGGGTCTTTGATACTGGACATACAAATTTCAATTCTTGCAGTATACGAGGATATCCTGCAGAAAAGAACAGTGTTTGGCAGACTGAAATAGAACATAATATGAGGAGCAAAAATGCAAAATCCGATAATAGTTATTTATTATACAAGGGAAAAAAGTAGTAGATTTTAGCACCAGGTTGTGTTGTCTCCCGACGCGTAGCGGGGTACTTACGTATTTTCGTCTGAAAAACACGAATTTTATAATGAAAATGT